CTATTAAAAACACAGTCATTTTAAACAAAGAACCCAACATAAACAAACGAAAAATCAAGGAATCCATTTGAATCCATTAATTGAACAAAAGAACCCTACTCTAAACCAACACCCCGGGGTGTCAAGATACCTCTTCTAAGTTTTGCAACAGTATCCGGTCATGTGATCTCTTTGTATATATATCCGTGTCAGTGTAAATTACTTATACCTGATGATGACAAAACCTTGTGAAACGTCGTACATTTGCTGTTATGTCAAACTTGTATTAAAGTTTTTCTTCATTACCCATTCAAGCCGTCTCCAACCGTTACATGAATAGTAAGTTCCACAACTTAACAACAACAAACCTAAGTTTTCTACTTCTTCCAGTTATTAAAACACGTAATTTATATCAAGATAATTACGATTACAACTATGACTAGTCACTTCGGCGCCGAACTTATTTACACGAACCGCGTAGGTTTGTAGTCTTAGATTTGATTCTACGCCCAGTAGGCCTAAACTATATTTTAATGGGATACCATTAGAACCGTTTTACTCATTGGGAAAAAAGGGCATTTGCTCAGGGCCCACCGCGAGAGATCGATGTGATCAGGGTTGAGTGGGAAAAGCGTTCTTGATTTATCTAATTTTAAAATAATTAATTTTTTTATTTAATTCTAAATTTGTAATTTTATTAATTTCATTTTTAAATTATATTTAAATCAACTCTCAACTTCGTCCATTTCTTCTGTTTCACTACGCCATCATCGTTCTGTTTATTATGAATAATATTTTTTTAAATTTCTAACGAGTTCAACCCTAGCACCAGTACCAGTTGTAATAGCAGTGACAAGAAGGAGGGCAAAGAGATCCCAAATGAAACTTTAATTTATTTTGTATTACTCTACACGGTATTGTGTATTTACTAGCTATCGGTAGGTATTAGCCCTTCCCATGCGCCTTACGTTACGTGTCCATGGCTGAGGGAGAAAATCCCTTCCCAACATTGAAGTGCACAAAGTCAGGGTTATGTTCTACGATGCAAAAACAACGCCTTAACACTTTGACGTTAATGTCAATTGAGAACAACATTTTGAAGCTGATCGACTTTACGGCCATTATTGATGAGTTTGCAAGACAAAAATAAAATATGAAGTGTATAATCAAATAATAATAATAAACCATTTATATATATATTCCTTCTTGTCACTTATTTAATTTTTATCACTAATAAATTTAGTTTATCACATTGTATGGTATCTTCTTCAAAATAAGGAAGGTCCACTAGTGCTTTAACACGGCAATACCATTAACAATAACTCATAAACAACATGCCGATATGGACTCTTTCACTTTTTATAACTTACTTTTCTAAAGTTTTAGGTAATCTATTCTAGCCGTACTATTGCTACCAGAAATATCCTAACAAACTTTAACCCGAGTGATTCTGTCATTATATTCTGCCTATATCCCATCGCTACATCGAATTAAGTGACGTCTACCATTAAAATATGATGCTTGTCGCCAAAATTTGATTTCTACAACTCATAATTTCTCATAAAATAAAATGTAATAAATTAATGTTCCAAAACTGTGACAAGTAAAGTTTCACAAGATAATAACGTGTTACCGACTTACATTTGAAAATTCACTGCATGATTTGTGTCCGATTTCTTGATAATATTTTTATTGATTTTTTTCATTCTACCTAATTTTTAAAAGTATAAAATACCCATTTATACGAAAGGATTGATGAAGAACGACTTAAAATTTCGCCCTAAGGTTTTATATAACCAAAATGTGAAGTATGTTTTTTCTCGTAATAATTCATATAATAGAGTAGTCACATGGTTTCTTTATTGAACTTTCACTTCATAAAGAGCGTGTACACTGTACTTGAAATACACTTAGGGAAAACGCATGCGTACATATCGATTTGCTCTCAGAATTTCACACGGCAAGAGTCACGAAACGATTGTTGCTATTCCGTGTTCGACAAGGTTGAGAAAGAGGTAATTTACATTCATTGGGAAGAACTTTTGGTTTTATAAATTTAAGATAGTGTAGTTTGTATAATTCCAGTTGATGAAACTGATGTTAATAGTATAACATATTTGTTAGAATGCAACCCAACGATATTCTTATATTCATATGTCTAGTGTTGCAAGACTCGACAAGCAATTTGTTAGTATTACTATTAGTATTAGTAAGAACTTACTAGCAAGCTGCGGTACTACGTAATAGTAATAGACCTCTTTAAGTTTAACTTTTAAGTGTAAGAGAATGTTACAATTCAATTACTTTAATAATAGCATTAATTTTATTTTTGTTATTGATCAAAACATAAACTAAACTAGATAAGTTAAAGTAGCCAATAAGCATGTTAATAATAGTATGTTACAAATGAGTTATGATTGTTACGAAGTTGCGTTTCGAAAGCTTTCAAACTTGTATATTCAAAATTAAAGATAAATATCTGCTGACACTAGTGACAGCGAAGTTGCGACCTACACGTGTTGCAAGTTTATAATAATGCTAACGATGCAAACGAAAAGAAATTATACAGACTATCAATTAATATGGGAAAGAAATTTAAACTTTGAATTTGATATCGGAATCTAACAAAAGTCCAAAATCGTGAGAAACTTAATTGTTTTTAGTGTAGAAAAGCTTAAAATTAAATTTTAATAAGAGCGTTAAGTCTTAATAACATCTTAAGTTGAAATTAGCAGATTAATTCATTATTATAGTTATACAATATTAATAATGAAAAACAGCACCATGATATTCTTATACAAGTTTATTTTGCGCATTATTCTATAACCGCAATGCCACTGTGTCAAAGGATTTAATTTTAAGCCAAAAAGTGTAATTGTGCTACAAATACAACATACAACTACTGACATTTCTTCCCAAATAAGTATACTTACGGTTTATCTTGAATCCATCGCTAAAATCATTAAGCTTAATACCATAGCTCCATTTAAAACTTATGATTATTGACTTCCACACAGTGCACTGTTACAGTTTTGGTAGTTTCAAGAGTTAGTGCAAACGGCTATTGAAAAAGTTCAGTTCGTAATACATGTAGGCTAAGATATATTTTATATGCAGAAATTCGTATTAGTGTTGCTGTTTTGTGAACGACTTAAGCCTAAGGGCTTGTTAGGTTAACGGTTGGATACTAAGTATACACCTGGAAAAAAGTTAAGCACCCCCGTGTTTTTTTCAAGTGATTCAGATTCGACGTTCTTGTGACTGATTATAAATTACCATTCAATCTAAACGTGTTTATCAAATGAAATTATGCATTATTGGGCACAAGAAAACAAGATTATCACCGTAAAATAACAATTTTTAATTTACATATCATGACATCAAAATATGGACAGTTTTCACGCTTAAAATTATCTTTAATAAGTATTGTCCGTGAAAGCTCAAAAACGTTATTGAATTGCAAAATCCCATTACACAAC